CCACATGGCAAGAAGGGCAAGCCATGCAAAGGTGAACAAGAAGGCTGCGGGCCAGAGCACGTAGGGGCGCACAAGAGAGATCCCAGGAGCCAGATGCATGGAGCTCTGCACACAGCCCCCAGGGGCGGTTTTGTTCTAAGAGCGTAAGAAGTCGTTGGAAGGTCTGGAAGAGGGGAGATGTGTTCTAATATGTTTTTGAAAGTTCATTCTGGAGAACGGATTGTTGGGGGGCAAGAGTAGGAGCAGGGAGGCTGAAAGGGGTGCCATGAGGTTAGCCTGGAGTGGAATGAGAGGAGGTGAAGGCCCGTGGATGGAGTGGGGTGTTTGTGGGAGAGTCCACAGGGCTTGTTGGTGACTGCATGTGGGCCACGACACATGGGAAGAATAAAGGGGGGCTCCTAGGTCTTCGGTTTGAGAAATGGGGTGTATATCATGATGCCATGTCCCAGGATGGAGGCGACCTGAGTGGGGAGCAGGTTTCTGAGGAAAATCGAGTCCCTTTCTGGTCCTATAAGTTTGAGATGCTTGTGGGATATCCAAGTGGAGAGATCAGGAGGCACCAGTGCCCCAGGCGTCCTCTGTCACTGTCCCAGCGATGCCAGATCAGCCCACCAGAGGCCCCAGCCATGATTCGGCCCCACCCCACTTCCAGGAGGGCGGTCTGATAGAGGCTGTGGTCTCTTAAGAAAACCATTTGGTCACTTTTGCACATTGTTGTCTCCTTTCCGTGGACCTCCCTTCCCGCTCTACTATCTTCTTTTCTTGGATCCCTTCTCACTGCTCGGGTGCTAGCTCAGAGGTCACCTCCTCCAGGAAGCTGCCCTGACTTCCCCCCTGTCAAGGCTTAGGTGCCACTCTCCAACTGCCCTCGTAGCAGCTTATATGAATTACAGCCTTCGCTGCGCTGTGTTCCATTCATCTGTTTGCTGCTGTCACCTGACCTTTGCCCTCTCCTCGGGGACACATATTCCTCACTCACTCCCTGAAGACAGGCCCTCTGAACCCTGACCTAGCACAATGCTTGATTCTGAGCATGTGCCCATCAATACAGGTGGAATGCATGAATGAACAGAAACGAGTGAACACCCTGATGCATGAGCTTATTCCATGCTGAAGATTATCTCCTCTGAACAGAATCCCAGAAGCTGAGGTTGTTGGATTAAAGGGGATGAAGACTGAAAGCGTCCATCCCCATAGCTAAGGAGCTTTCCACAAGAGCTGCAAGTGCGAGAGAGCCCATCTCACTGTGTTCTTGCAGCGTGGCTAAGTTTTCTTTATTTTAATTTAAAAAAATATGTATTTTTATTGATTTCAGAGAGGAAAGGAGAGGGAGAAAGAGATAGAAACATCAATGATGAGAGAGAATCATTGATGGGCTGCCTCCTGCACACCCCACACTGGGGATTGAGCCGCAACCCGGGCATGTGCCCTGACTGGGAATCGAACCATGATCTCCTGGTTCGCAGGTTGATGCTCAACCCGAGCCACGGCAGCAGGCTTCTTTCTTTTCTAAATGAGCTCATTTTATAGGCAAATTAGAACCAACTTGTCCTAATTTGTATGTCTTTGATTACGAGTGAGGGTGAACATTCTTCCATGTTTGACTACTAAATGCATTTCTTCTTTGAGGATTTACCTGGTCATGTGCTGTGGAAACTGGTAAGGCAGGTGGTGTTCTGTGAGATGTTTGGGGGCCGTGTGGGGAATGACGAAGCAGGGAGCTGCCGTGGGAATGCTCCTGGTGAGGGGTGAGCTGGCAGGGTCACTGAGGGGCTGGAGGAACAGCAGGGGCAGAGGAGGTACACTAACACTATGATTCAGGAATAATAATAGTGGCTACAGCTTACTGAGCCACTAGTATGTGTGAGCCTTGTTCTCTTCACTTAGCATGTGATAACTCAGTAACCATGACAACCCTCCGAGGCAGGTATTCTTATCCCCAGTTTACAGATGAGGAGACTAAAGTGCGGACGTCCAAAGCCTTGCCCTTGCTCAGGCAGCTAAAACGCAGCGGAGCTGGGATTCGAACCACAAGGGTGTGGACCCAGTGTCTCTGCTTCTCACCATAGGGGTCCAGCCTCTCCAGAGACAGGGGCACACATCAGAGATGCAGGGAGCTGGACAAGACCCCCAGAAGGAGCTTATTAAGATTCTCAACTCTTGGTCCCCTTCCTGGAAAACAACCAGCCAGGGACAAATCCGAGCCCACCTCCTCTGAGCTGGGAACGGGGCTGCTGAGTTCTGCTGGAGGAACCAGCCCCATGACTGGAGCCACGACAGACACCTGGTCCCTGACCACAGCTGCCCTCCACGCAGCCCGGCAACTCTTCCCCAAGTCCCACATAGCTCTCGCCTCCCAGCCACAGTCACAAACTTCCCTGCTCCCCCTCCCAGGCTCTCTCCCATCCAAGGTCAGTCCCAGCCCCTTCCCAGACTAAACACCCCACACCTAATGTTAGCATCCCCCAAACCTGCCCGAGGCCGTGCACCCCCGCCCCAGCACTATTGGCAAAAGCAAAGGATATACATCTAAATGCTCATTAGAAGGGACCTGGTCAGATAGGTTATGCTATTGCCCATCAATGGAAAGAAGGGTGAGGAAGTGATTCAAGTACTGAGATGGAATAACCTCAAAGACATTATGTCGGTGGAAAAGCAAGATGCAGAATTATCTATTGTGCTACCATCTGTGAGGAGAAAGAAAGAGGAGGAGATGAAAACCAGTCCAGGGTCAAAAAAGAAAAGAAAAAAAAGGGGGGAGGGGCGGGGCGGGGTGGAGAATCTGCTACCGTATTCACCACGCTGCCTGCCTGGGCGCAGCCTCTTTCTGGAAAGACACACAGGAAACTGGCGACACTGGCTGCCTCCACGCAGAGGAGCTGGGTGTCTGGGAACAGTAAGGACCTTGCACTGTGTATACTCGTGTATCTTTGAATACACCGTGTGAATATATTCGTATTATTAATAACAATAATAACATGAAACATTAAGTTGCACAAATGGTTTCTCATACGTGTGTGCAGAGATCTGTGTGTAGATCAATATAAACACACGTGTAAATCGTGTGCTGCTGATGTCCCTCCCCATCCCCAGGGCCTGGAAGAGGACCTTCTGGTGGCTGATCCTGCTGGCAGTCAGCTTCTCAGGGCTGCTCCTGTACGGGCTCCCGGCCCTCAGGTACAGCCTCCTCTCCCCAGCGCTCCGGGCGGGCCCTCCGGGACAGGACTCAAGTGGGTCTTTCCAAGCATCCCCTGAGGGCTGGCGGGGGGTGACCATCCCAGCCCACTCCAGTGTCCTGTGGGCCCTCCCTCCCTGTAAGGAGCAGAGCGACAGGGCTGCTGAGCAGGCTGGCGTGCCCCTCATTGCTGCCCCCGCCCAACAGGCACCTGGAAACCTTCATCCCCATGGGCACCTGCCCTTTGACCAGAATGCCCCTGCTGAGAGACAACTTCACAGGTCTCCTGCATCTCTGGTAAGGAGACACAGTCCCTCCCGCTCTGAGATTTCCCATGGTGCCCTGCAGTATGTGCCCCAGCGTCCCTGCCCTCCTACCCCCTACCCCGGCAGAGCCAGGCTCTCCACCCCAGGGCCCAGCGGGTTGCACATCTCTGGATCTTCCGTTTGTGTTGGTTCTGGGCTAGGGACTGGGTATGCCCCACCAGGGGGTCCCTAGGGCCCAGCATGGGGAGATGGCAGTGAGCATCACCAAGTGGGTGGACAAATGGACCCCATCTCCCATCCCTGCTCTGGCCAGGGCCCGGCCTGAAGTCCTGACCTGTACCTCCTGGGGGGCCCCCATTGTTTGGGATGGCACTTTCGATCCAGATGTGGCCCAGCAAGAGGCTATACAGCAGAACCTCACCATTGGGCTGACTGTCTTTGCTGTAGGCAGGTAAGGCCTGGGGAGGGGATCAGGGCTGTCAATCAGGGAGTGGGGGGGGGGTGCATGTGATATGGGTAGTGGGGCTCCCTGTTCCCTGTGCCAGAGGATCCCAAGGTGATGCAGAAGGCAAAGACAGCACCCCTATTCCATTCATCCCCTTCTGTCCTTCCCGGACACTAACACTGTGCAGCCCACCCAGCACAGGTAGCCAGGGGCTCAACGCCATGTCCTGCGAAGCACCTGCCATGGGGCTGGTTGTCCATTTGGAGGCACTGGGTTTGTGGTGAGAAAATGATGACGTGAGAATGGTGAGACGAGGGGAGAGCAGTTGGGTGGACAGAGGAAATGGCGTGGCTGCAGTAAGTGCCCCCTGGAGGTCAGTGGCTCAGATGCAGGCACACGATAAGGGGGGGGTGGGGGGCGGAGGCTTGCCTGATGGAGGGAAAGGGGCTGGCGAGCTGAGGGTTCCTGCAAGGGAGTGAATCTTGAGCCGGGTAGAGAGGGAAGTGAAGAGAGGAGGGGGATGCTGAGAAAGGGTTCAAACCTGAGCATCAGTGGGGTAGGACTGCTGGGGGAGGGGGATCACAGGAAGTGGGCCGGAAGGATGGGGGATCACAGAGTAGGACAGACTGGTGATGACCAGGCCAAGGGAGTAGACATGGGGATCGGTGACTGAGGAGGGTAGAGGACAGAGTCACTGGAGGAGAGGAGTCTGAGGTATGGAGGAGCCGAGTGGGAGGTGGAGAAGAAATCCCAGGGGCACTGACACCCCCATTATGGATGGCAGCTGTCCAAGCTGGGTGCCCACTCTCCAGATGCAAAGGGGACAACTGGATGTAACCCTAAGTAGGTACCCGGAGGTAGAGTTCAGGGCAGTTAAAGGATGCGTTTGTAATAATGAAACAGACTGCTTTGGGAAGGCAGTGAGAGTTTGGCATCCAGGAAGAGAATGTGGGGAAGGAATGCTATTATCAAATACCCCAGAACTGTGAACTCCACAATCCAGAAGGGAGAGAAAGCCAAGACGGTGCCTGGGAGTTAGGGGGGAATCAGGACCAAGGGCTGACCCATCGGCCAGGTGGGCAGAACCTTGTGCTCCCACTTCTATTCTGGATACTGAGTAGGGTGTTCTTGCACCAGCCGTAGGGGGCAGAATCTTGGGGTCCAGAAATTCCAGGACCTTGAGGTTCTGAGTTCCAAGGTTTTGTGAGTCTAACACCCTGGGAGGGTGAGGTTTCCTTCCAGTTCCTCACAGACCTACCAGGAATAGAGCAAGTGCAGGTAAAAGCTCTGGCCTGAATGCCAAGCTGGGTTCAGATCATAGCTCTGCAACTTACCACCTGTGTGTATGCTTGCATCAGGCACGAAAGCTCTTTGTGGCTCAGTTTCCTCACCTGAAAAATAGAGATAATAATAAATGGTGAGGATTAAATGCTCGACTTAGAACACTGTCTGCCACATGATAAATGTTCAAAAATATTAGGCATTATTACTATTATTTCAGAACCCTGGGATCCCAAAATCTTTTAATACAGTCTCTAATATTACAAATGTTCTGATAAGGAATTACCACAAACTCAGGGAGTTAAGACAACAATTATTTATCACTAGAGGCCCGGTGCACAAAATTCGTGCACTGGTGGTGGTGGTGGAGGGGGTCCCTCAGCCCAGCCTGCACGCTCTCGCAGTCTGGGAGCCCTTGGGGGATATCTGACTGATGGCTAAGCCGGCAGTCGGACATCCTTAGTGCTGCTGCAGAGGCCGGAGAGACTCCCACCACTGCCGCTGCACTGGCCAGCAGTGAACCCGGCTTCTGGCTGAGAGGCACTCCCCATGTGGGAGTGCACTGACCACCAGAGGGCAGCTCCTGCATTGAGCTCTGCCCCCTGGTGGTCAGTGCACATCAAAGAGACCAGTTGATTTGCATATTAGCCTTTTATTATATAGGATAGGATTCTAGCTCCTGATTTTGTGGGCCAGGAATTCCAACAGGGCTCCACAGGAAGTGTTCCATTGCCCCCCAGTGTCTGGGTCTCTCCTGGGATAGCCCACTGCTAAAGACTGGTGGGGCACCTCTCTCCACACTGCCTCTCTGCACGGCTGGTTTGGGCTTCCTCACATCAGTGCAACATTCAAATGTGGAGCTTATTAAAGGCCCAGAGCTCTAAAGAGACAAAGGCTAACACGGTCAGTCCTTTGAAGGCCAGCACAGCACCACTTGCTTGGTACCGTGGTCAGGGACAGCCCGTGTTCAAGGGAAGGAAGACAGGGCCCCTCGGGCACGAGTGGCAAACAATCTGCAATCACCTTGAATGGCTTGCAGGATCAGGAGCTCCAGGGACTGAGGTTGCAAGTTAACAAGGGCCTGAATGCGAAGGGGAGGGGAGAGGACAGCGGGCGGGCCAGGGGATAAGGAGGAGGGTCAAGGCCATGCAGGTACCCCACCCCCACCCCCACCCCTTGCAGGTACCTGGAGAAGTACCTGGCGCGCTTTCTGGAGACAGCCGAGCAGTACTTCATGGTAGGCCAGCGCGTGGTCTACTACGTGTTCACGGAGCGCCCGGCCGCCGTGCCCCGCCTGCCGCTGGGCACGGGCCGCCAGCTGCGCGTGGAGTGCGTGCTGCGCGAGCGGCGCTGGCAGGACGTGTCCATGGAGCGCATGCGCACGCTGCACGCGGCGCTGGGCGGCCGGCTGGGCCGCGAGGCGCACTTCGTGTTCTGCATGGACGTGGACCAGTACTTCAGCGGCGCCTTCGGGCCCGAGACGCTGGCCGACTCGGTGGCGCAGCTGCACGCCTGGCGCTACCACTGGCCGCGGAGGCTGCTGCCCTACGAGAGCGACCCGCGCTCGGCCGCCGCGCTGGCGCCGGGCGAGGGCGACTTCTACTACCACGCGGCGCTGTTCGGGGGCAGCGTGGCGGCGCTGCGCCGGCTGACGGCGCACTGCGCGCGGGGCCAGCGGCAGGACCGCGCGCGCGGCCTGGAGGCGCGCTGGCACGACGAGAGCCACCTCAACAAGTTCTTCTGGCTGCACAAGCCCGCCAAGGTGCTGTCGCCCGAGTTCTGCTGGTGCCCGGAGATAGGCCGGCGCGCCGAGATCCAACCGCCCGCGCCTGCTCTGGGCGCCCAAGGAGTACCCCCTGGTGCGCGACTAGGCGCCGGGGGCCGGGCCTCGCGCGCCCCCCCCCCGCGGACACCTGGGCCCCGGGACGATGCGCAGTGAGCGGAACCGCAAGGAGAGACCCTGAAGCCACCCGGTCTCTCCTGGAAGCAGCATGGCGCTCTGGAGGACAGGGAGAGGTGGGCTGAACGCAGCCCTGCCACCCCCTGCAGGTGCCCAGACAGGGGGTGGGGGCGCCCTGCCTTCGAGAGTGTTTTGCGGGTTGTGGTTGGACCTGCCCACGTGGTTCTTCAGCAAAGGCCATCAGGACGCTGAAGGGAATGACTCACAGGTCCTGGAAGCTGCACCGCACACCTGGAGCCACACAGCAAGGTCTCAGGTAGAGAAGCAGGCCCTGGGCCCCGTTTATTGGGGTCGAGAGTGGGGTCCTAGGGTTTTGTGGACTCACTCTGTTGGTGAATTCAACCTACAAGAGCGGGGATGCAAAGCTCTGGAAGAGAAAAAGCAAGGGGCCCCAGGGATTAGTTGTTGAAATCAACCAAGATCTCTCAGCACAGGAGCCTCCGTGGGGGATGCAGCGGTTCTCTGGTCCTGTGGCTGGCCCTGGGGTTTTGGAGAAGGCTGCTCTCTGGGACGTGCCTGCCTTGGCAATCAACGCTTAAAGTGGGCACTTGCATTACAAAAGGCAGAAAAAAAATCAGGAAGGGAGCTTCTCACTTGCAAGCCACCTTTCCCACCCCCCACCCCCATTTTTTTAAAAATGAGGAGACTGGATGCCAGTGGCATCCAGCTCCTTGGCTTTGACCTTTCACCTCCCTGGCCCTCAAGCATAGTTTGTACATATTTAAGTTAATACTATTGTAAATGAAAAAGGGGCTGTGGCATAACCTAACAAGTTCAGGGGGCCACGGGCAGGCCTGAGAAGCTCAGCGGCCACACAGGATGGTCTGATCCTACATCCCTCACTGGGCAGGCCATGGAGGCAGTCCCGTCCCAGGACTGCAGCTCCTAGCAGAGGTCAGCCTTTACCACACGTGAGTCCTGTCCACTGTTCTTACGCATCAAGGGGAACAGACCTTGGAAATGGCACAGTAATCACCTTTCTAGACCCTCGAGGACACAACACAGGCACCAGAGCGCAAGATCCCCAGAACCCCTCATGGTTACCTGGTCCCCCGATACCATCTCTATGTGCTGTGTTCATGACTGGTTGTCCTGTCCTGCCAATGTAAACCATATTTCTCTATTTTGCTTTTTATCCAGTCCTAGAGATTTGCCCGCTTTGCTTTCTCCCACCTCCCTAAATCTGTCACCAATGATTTGATGTATCCTGCTTGTTTTTTTTTTTCCTCCTTTAATTCTAAATGCATCCAAGGAACTGCAAAACTGCCTTTTTCCAGAGCATTTTCTCAGTCTTTGAGATCTTGTTTCCAGGCAAAATTTGGCTCAAACTCTTTCTTAAAATTTTTTATAGGAATTCATTTTTTTTCTATTTTTTTTATTTTTCATTTTTTTTATTTTTTTATTTCAGAGAGGAAGGGAGAGGAAAAGAGAGATGAAACATCAATGAGAATCATTGATCGGCTGCCACCTGCAGGCCCCACTCTGGGGATCAAGCCTGTAACCTGGGCATGTGCCCCAATTGGGAATAGAACAGTGGCCTACTGGTTCATAGGCTGACGCTCAACCACTGCCACAATGGCCGGGCCATTTATTTATTTATTTACTTGTTTATTTATTTATTTTTTAATCCTCACCCGAGGATATTTTTCCATTGATTTTTAGAGAGAGTGGAAGGGATGGGGAGAGACAGAGAGTGAAACATCGATATGAGAGAAACACATCGACTGGTTGCCTCCCGAATGCACCGGGACAGGGAATCGAGCCTGCAGCCGAGGCACATGCCCTTGACCGGAATCAAACCCGGGACCCTTCCGTCCATGGGCAGATGCTCTATCCACTGAGCCAAATGGGCTAGGGCAACTCTTTTTTTAATGTGTTTATTGGGATGGTTTTTAAGAAGTTTATTGATTTTTAGAGAGGGAGGAAGGGGGAGAGAGAGAAACATTGATGGCACAATATTGATCAGCTGCCTGCCTCCTGCACACCCTCTACCAGGGATGGAGCCTGCAACTTGGGCATGTACCCTGACAAGGAATCAAACCAGCAACATCCTGGTGCACAGCGACCTCCTGGGAGAACGCCCATCCAACTGAGCCATACTGGCCAGGGCTCAAATAAGCTTTTATAATACTTTTCTGTATGTTGGGAGTTCTCTTGTTGGTATCATAATAAAATGAGTTATTCCAAAAGTGTCTTTATGGCATTTTTCCTGGAGAGTCAATGTTTACAAAAATGACATTTCCTTGTTCTGGGGCTCATAGGTCTGTTTGGTCACAGTGTCTAGGAGAGATGTTTCCTCATCCATGGCTGCTGTCCACACTCTGCATCCTCAACCAGGGAAAACGCAGGCTCCGAATAGGAGCATGAAGCCATCAGGTCCTCCAGGAAAGGTGGTCCCCGAGCCAAGGCAACAGGAACGGTAACCACTGGAAGCCCCTGAGCTTCTGTCTGACAGTTGGGAGCACTGAGGCCTGAGAGGGTGGGATTTCACTCCAGGTCTCCTGAATCCTTTAGGTAGTGTTCGCATAGACTTGGAGTTTTAACAGCCTCCACTGCTCCGAGGTAGGAGAGCAATGCCGGCTGTAAGCCAATCCTGATGGTGTTTATAACCTAGTAATTTGTATAAGCAAGTTCCAGTTATTGATGATGTGGAATAAAAGATGCCTCCCCTCTCAAAAGCAGCTCAAACTTCCCTGGTGCCTCTTACCTAAAGAAGGTAAGCGAAATCCAGAAGGCCTTTTGGCCACTGGATTAGAAATAAGAACAGGCCAGGTGAACTGGAGAACAGGTTAGACTGTGACCTGGAACCTCCCTTCCTCTGGGACCATGATCCCCATCTCACCCTAGAACATGCACCAAGGGTCACACACAGGACCCTGGGGCACTAGAGACCTCAGCCTGAGCAGGTAAGACCTGGGTGGGAATCGGAGGTTCATGCTCATGTGTGTGACTATGGACAAGTTCCTTACCTTTGCCCCGTCTCAGTTTTCTCACGTGTAAAGTGGGGGTGCCAGTCACCCTCTGCAGGGGTTGTGATCTCCAGAAAACAGAACTTGCCGTCTCCCTCTCCTTGCCTGCTCCCCTCCAACAGGTTCATAGTGCAACTACTTCAGCAAACAGTCCTTTTCTCTTTCAAGAGAAAGCGATGGCACACTCAAGGGTTTCTAGGTGCTGGGCTCGGGCAGCCTCAGGCTGTGGGTGAAGCCAGTGGTGTGCTGGTGAATGTGTGGCAACCGGCTCTTGGAGGAAAAGGAAAGCCCAGTCTGCCGGGATTTGCACCACCAAGGATACCCTGCCAGGGCTGGTTTCCAAGCTCCCACTGAATGCAGAGTGGAAAAGAGGTGTGCGCAGCCCACTCCCATGAGCCAGGGCGGCAGGTCCTCGAAGGATGTTTCGTTCAACATCTTGTCCTTACAGCGTTGATGAGACGCAGTAGGAACTTAACTATTGCTTATATCAGTCTGTGGTAAAATTGGTCTCGATATATGTCGTTTCCCTTAAAGTCAAAGAACCTATCATGACATTACGGGAGGACTTAGCTGTACACACCACTGGCACAGGAATCAAGTCACTGAGGCAGGTGGCCACCCCTGGCCAATCAGCTGTAGCTGGGATGGGGTCATGTGACCAAATATGGCCAGAGCCCATCCTTTCACTGCATAGCAGGCTGTGGGAGGTCAATTTCAGAGAAAAAGAGGAGTCCATTTCCCCTTCTGATGATAACACACTCTGGCTTCCTCCTGGGGAGGTGCTGCAGGTGCAGGTTCACCCTCTGCTGGGCTTAGAGCGTGGGCTCTTGGCCTGAGCCCACCAAGTATAAACATTCCGGTCATGTGACTGGTTCAGGGACCGCACTTCACCCAGTTCAAACCAGGGAGAGACAGGCTTGACTGCTGGGAACCTGAGGGCTGTGAGTTTGGAGCTGTGGACTCCATAGGAGTCCAAGGGTGAAGCTGACTGGGAACAAAGCCAAGTGGAGAGACACTTCACTGAGCCCTGAAGCTGAGCTGACCCTGCCGATGGCCATGTTGTTATGTAAGCCAATAAATCCTCATCTGCATCGGGCGTTCTACACCTTGCAGCCATGTCTCACATTCACAAGGCCATGAAGGCTCAGAGGAGTGAGCTCCATGGTGACTCATGTCCAAGTCACTTCTGTCTCCCCCATAATGCCTAGCACAGGGCCTACCTTGATAAACTTTGGAGGAATTAATTCCTGCATTTCCCTCCTGGGCAATCAGAACACTGACCTCCATGGGGCAAACTTATGTGAAGGGGACTTCTTTTTTTTTTTTAATATATATTTTTTTACAGAGAGGAAGGGAGAGGAATAGAGAGTTAGAAACATCGATGAGAAACATCGATCAGCTGCCTCCTGCACACTCCCTACTGGGTATGTGCCCGCAACCAAGGTACATGCCCTTGACCGGAATCAAACTTGAGACCTTTCAGTCCGCAGGCCGACGCTCTATCCACTGAGCTAAACCGGTCAGGGCTGAAGGGGACTTCTTGATCCCCTCAGTCACTGGAATAGCTCCCACAAATCTGGGCACTCATGACGGTCCCCCAAAGAGGGTTGGGAGAAGCTGCAGTGAACCTCACCGGTGGACTCCATGCGTCTGAAAAGGCTTCAGAACTAGACAAACTGGGGCTGAATTTACGTCCCTCTATTGCAGCATGATCCTCGGCCAAATACCTCTTGGCTTGCTGCCCACTTCATAGGGGGCTGTGAGGTAATCAACACCATCTCCCTCCAAGTCTGGGGGGGCGGGGGAGGGGAGAGGAGCAGTGGAAAGGTGCCCCCCAGCCCCGCCCTCGCACAGAGCACGCCACACACCACCGCCACCCGGGTGCAGGTATGTTTATTCTTCACAACAGAGAAATACAAAGAGCAGAGGGTTTAGAATTCCT